CCTTCTAAAATACTTAAGATGGTATACGTTGAGTAAAAGTTTATACGATCCTTTATAAAATTGTTGGCTCAATGCTCAGAGTTGTAAGACAAATATAGGTACTGAAGAATATAAAACGAGCCCATAATCAAAGCTCATGAACTCCTATTTTAGAAATACTAGCTTTTAAAAAAGCAAATAAAAGTTTTCCTAGAAATATAAAAATGGAAATTACAGCTAAAAATGCTTCTTTAAATATATAGCTGAAATGATATGAACTAAGAAAGCAATTCAATATGTTGTTTTCTTTTCAAGCAGGCGACACAATCTATATCTTCAGCGCTTAAGACACTGAAATATATCTGAGAATTTAAGAAATGAAGTTGACTTTACATAGATATTTGAATTTTATATTTGGTAGTAGAAGGAAAATTTTTTCTGTCTTTATTTTCTTTGATCTTTTTTGAAATATGCGTCATCACTTTTTGAAATCCCGGTTGAGAAAGTGGATGATGATACCAAGTTACAGCTTTATTTGCATTTCATTACTTACAAGGCGACGCCATAAAATGATATTATTGCGCTGTCTGGAAAAATGTATTTTCTAAATGAAATGCAATACATTACGTACGGAATTTTTGCTGATTAAAAGACTCAAAAAATCCTAATTTTATTTAATGGTGGTCCACTGTGATATTTTTTACGATTGACTTAGATTTAGTTCACTGATGACTTCAAAGGAAAATATAAAAATAAGCTTTTAAGCGAAGAAATATTTGCCTTTCCAGGTTAATGTAAGATTAATATGCTGATTTTCTTTTTGAATATTTTTTGTAAGCTTCTCCATTTTTCTTTTTATGGATGGAAGAAAGCGGAGTAGAAATTAGATCAAAGAAGAAATATTGTATTTTTTAAAATAAATATTTTTAAGATTTGTTCATTAAGAACATCCATATGAAATATTAATGCTTACAATGCAAAAGATTTGCTTTGATTTTTTTACTCCTAAACTGTAAGTCAATATACATATATCTAGTCATTGCTATAAAAAAAACTCTTTAAAGACATGTTTATCTTTTTCTTAATGTTTACTAATATCTTTAAAAGCTACTATTGAAGATATGTTTCTTTATTTTTTTCCAGAGGTAGGAAATACTTTATAATTTTTAACAAATTATTCTTATCTACTTACTTTTTTTTATTTTAGATGAAAGAAATGAATAAGATTTATTTTATTTTAATACATTCTAATAGCATTCACTTTTTAGGTCAAGTTTATAATATTAAGTTTTTAAAATTGGTTAGGACAATTGTATACTTTATTAAGAAATACATACCATAGCAAATTTAAGAAAAGGGTAAACTAGACTTAATGCTGCATAAGAATTAAAGACTATTATTCATCTTTATGTTAATTTTTCGATAAATAAAATGATTTATGTGAATCAATTTTTTTTCGAATTAGCAGATTGTAAATATATTACTTCATACTACTGGGCATATTATTGACTTCAAAACAAATAAAAATAAAATTTGAAAACTGCTGCTTTTAAAATTGAAGCAGCATATACTCATTTTTGAGCAAAAGGCATTTTGAGGGAGAAATGTGTGAGAGAGATATTCGTTGGCTGACGGCTAGATCAGAACCAAAGACTTCCGGGATCACTGAAGGATAATTTAACCTCCAGAGTTATACAGGGAGACCAGTGAGTGTTCAAGACCAGGGAGAGTTTGGAAGCTTTATATAATGACCGCCGCAATGACGCATCATGACATTCATTCACTTCAGAGCTTCTAAGATGTAGCGAAATAAGCAAAAAGTGAAATTCAAATTACCAATCTCCTAACTTTCATCAGGACCATATTTTGCTGATTTCAGCCCTTTTACCCATTGACATTGGATTGTTGTTGTTGTTAATTTACGTCGCACTAGAGCTGCACAATGTGCTATTGGCGACCGTCTGGGAAACATCCCGGAGGATGATCCGAAGACATGCCATCACAATTTTGATCCTTTGCGGAGGGGATGGCACCCTCGCTTCGGTAGCCCGACGACCTGCGAGCGAAGTGGAGCACTTTACGGAAGCACAGTTTAACGAGGACCAATACCGCACACCCTCGGTCCCTACGCAGACTGATCCAAGTGGTCACCCACCCGCACACTGACCGTAGCCAGTAATGCTTGACTTCGGTGATCTGCTGGGCACCGTGTCTTTAAGATCAGTCCACTGCGGGACCCATTGACATTGGAAAATGGTATGTTATGATTACGGCGGATACTATATAAAACTTCCTAACTCTCTCTGGTCTGGTCAGCACAACTATTGTGGAGTGTGCATGGAAGTCCTTAGATAGAACAGCCAATGAACATCGATCACACAAATTTCTTCCTTTACATCAATTTTGAGACTATGCCATTTGCTCAAAAATGAGTATGTTTCAATTTTGAATATATGGGATTTTCAAATTCAATTATTATTTGTTTCGGAGTTATTTTGACCTATTTTTGCTCAATTTTGAAAAATCTTTTTTTTACTGTGTATATAGGAATAATAAATAAAAATGATTCTACATCACTTTGATTTATTGTTCACTATTATATTTATTTTATTGGAATTCAGTTCTCTAGAAATGGAGCCAGGTATTTCGCTTAAATGCAAATAAAAAGGAAAATTTATCTAAAGTGCATGCTATATTGTTTATGTATATGAAATAATTTAAAACAGCAGTAGGTTGTGTGATGCCATTATTGGTATTACATATTTCCTAGTTTTTAAAGTTTCTTTAATTTCATAATTTCAATTTTTTAATCATTCTTAATCCTATTATAATAAAGTCAACTTAATTAATTAATTTTCAATTATTGAAATACGTTTATTATTTTCTTAACAATCAATGTAACGGCTAACTTTTTAATTCAATAAAAATTAAATCTGCAACTGATTTATTCACTGTCACGACTCAATTGAAAATATATTTATAACTTCATATTTCTTTAAGCTACTTAATTCCTTTAACCACAAAAATGTTACTGTTACTGGGTCATATCAATTTCTAACCACCTTTTCAGTGATTAGTTGTTGCCAAATTATTTATAATTTAATATTAATAACACGTGGTTGGATGTACCGGGAAAGCCTGGTCGGTAGGGTGCTGGGCCCATGTCCGAACCCCACCGGACGAAGACTCCTCCTGTAGTAAATGGTGACTGATGAACGTTAAATCTGTCGAGTCACAAAGTCCTCCTTGTTCCCATAACAAATCAATACCTCTGGGAGTATTGGATTGGAGATCGATCGTTGTCTGATTCAGATCAAAATTACGATCTGTGGATGAATGAATGGATGTATGAATGGGTTCGCCCTATAAACGTGTGTGACGTATGGGTGTGGCAGAAGTCGAAATCTTGGCCAAAGATGGCGCCACTGGAAAACAAGAACAATCGCACCCCTCTGCCTAAACAGGCATACGTCAACAAAAACAACGTGGTTGACTTTGTTTTTGGCAATTCCCCAAAATTTGAAACTCTTCCCATGCTCCTAAGTGCCTGTTAGTAGCTATGCATTCACTGAAAATTTGAACTTTTTGGTGCTAGAAAGGGGGGAGGGGTTAGGATGTTCGATGGCCCTCAGTTTGATCGTTAAAAGTTTCACAAAATTGTTATATTAACTCGATGCCTTAAAAGAAACTGTCTTCGTCTCTGTACAAGAGATGGCTTAATATTTTGTTTTGCTAATATAATATGTTTTTGAATTTTTATGTGTGGTCATATTTGTTAATTTGAAAATGCTGTCTAATAAAGCAGAATGTTTTTCGTTGTTTGATCATATCTCAACAGTTTCTTTGTGTTGTGGAACAATGTCACTGTAGAAGAAATCTACATTATTACAATACGGCATGATATTCGCATCGATACGTATGAAAACTGGCCGCGTTAGAAAGGAGGTTTAAAAGCATTACAAATGTAAATATTAATTTACATAGATGTCATTCCATAATGAATAGATTTAATATATATTTTTAGAAGACTTATAAAAATAAATTGAAAACTAATCTGAGCATAATAGAGATCAAATATTAGTATTTATGTTACAGAGATCAAAAGTTGCTAGTCAATCGAATTTAAGGTAAAGAAAATTAAAATAAATTTAGTTCGTTTACATTTCTTTGAAAAAATATATTGAATGCCCCTAAGTGCCTCTTATTAATCCATATAGTTAAATGTATTTAAAACACTTTATGATCTAACATTATTTCCAATAACCAATCTATTATTGGCGATTAAAAAAAACTTGGTAATATATTACTAACTATATATAATTGATTAAATAAGTTAAAAAAACACGTGCAAAATAAAATCCATTTTATTACTTTCGTTTAAAGCTGTTTGCGTTATTTGTATTCTGTTGACGAAGTTAAAAAGCTTATTATTTAATTCCTGTTTAAATAGATTATAATAACAACGCATTAACTATGAACTCCTAACTTAATCGGATTAGTTATAGTACTTACTTTGACGCTAGGTGTGCTCTTATACGACAGAGATTACCAATAGATTTGTGAGACTTTATTTAAAACGTTGTAGGGAAGTAGTTTTAATGGGATTAGCGAAGAAACTTATTTGAGTAATAGTGTAGCATATGCTTGTTAGCCAAAGTATCTATTAAGTAAAACACCATTCTTGTAATTTGAAAGATTCCTATATCATTATGATATAAAGCATTTAACAAATAGCCAAATAAGGTTAAGGTTACAAACGTTCTTTTGTAAGTGCAGAATGAGAAAATGAAAATTTTTTTATGACTGATTGTTAATAAAACAAAAAGATTAGCATTAAGCAAACAATACAAAGATGTTGTAAATATGTGATGAACGGTAAAAAGAAATAGTTTCTCATTTTGGCTGCCATTGTAAAAATTATTTTCTAAAACTCCATTAAAAATTACGTATGTTTTTAATAAAAATTAAAAATATACATATATTTTTACTTAATAATTAATATATTTTTATAATATATATATATATNAACTACTGGAGGGCTTAGATTACATGCACAGTCGCTATGTTGGACATCTTGGACTAACGGTAACAATAATCAAAATGCTACTAATATTAATAATTACTAGATTAATATCATAGCAAATCAAATGTTACTACATTTATTATTAGTAAATGTAAATTACATATTGCATAGAATTGTACTAGTATAAATTAACGATAATTATCAAAATGGTACATAACAACAAATATTATTGATAAGTTACGCATAATATATAATGCATTAGTTATAGATGTTATCAAAGTTAATTATAAATGAAAATAATTCAAAAAGTCATATTAAACGATAATTTAAATATTTAGAAAATGTCATTTTTGTCAATCCGTAAAAAGATTTATCAAGTTCCTTACTATTATTACTAAAAATACTATTATTACTAAAAGTAAATAAATAAAAAGAACTAGTTTTTAGCAAATAAAGTCCCAATATCATTGTTGCTCAGCAGATTCCTGTTTTGAGAAATTTTGCTAATCAGAAGGAAGGTTTCCTTATAAACTATAACTATTTATTTTAAAACATAATTATAAAAGAAATGCGATAAGTTTAAAGCAAGATGCATAATTTATATAACTGCGAAAATAACACAGAAAACTTTTTAATTTCAGAGTTTGGGACATAATAGTTTTCTTTATTTTATGATACATTAACATTTTGTTTATAGGTAGGTGATGTCATGGTTTCCCGGGTTAACAGTGACGACATCAGATTCGGAGATTTTGGATTGGCTGCTAGACTGTTGCCAGGAAAAGATTATTTCTTAGAGTATGGACATCCTGAATTTGTTGCGCCTGAAATAGCGAAGAAAGAACCAGCAACCTTGCTTGCAGACATGTGGTAAAGCTCTGTCTTTTATTTAACGTCTTACATTTAACGGTCATCAAAAAAGCAAATTTCCCAATTACCAAGCGTTAGTTTTTATATTCTTATATAATGTACAAAAATTGATATCACATCTGAAAATCTGAATTCTCAATATTTTGTATGATTATTGTATGATTGTTTTGTATGATCACATTATTGTTATGCACTTTCTCCTGGTAAATCGCAATGCGTAAGAATCGGAGTAAAAATGTAGGGATTAAATTTTTTAAAAGTTAACATCAAACGATGTGTGCTGTGTCATGGTGGATCAGTATATAAAGCCCCCGCCTCCCTGTGAAGTGACCTAGGTTCGAATCCCAGCAATGTCTGGTTGATATAAATTCTGCTCCTGGCCCGCTCCACTGAGCAGACGTAAAATATCCTCAGTTGTAGACGGATCATGCGTTAGAATCCCCATTACAATCGGGCAAACTTAGGAGGTTTTTGTTGTTTGTTTATTCTCTACATGTGCGGGTTATCTCTATCAAAAAAATCTTCCATGAAGGTTAGTTTGTCCCAATGCTTAATCTAGGAGTTCTTTTGTCTTCTAGGTTGGGTTCAAAATTACAAGACTATGGAGTGGAACTTAGATAGCCGTAAACCCAAAAATGGGTTAACTGTTCAACGACGACTACAGAATTAAATAAAGTTACGGGGCTGAAATTACTGAAGTTATTATCACATACTGACACATTTTTTTAAAAGATCTATCTTTAATTCTCTACTCGATTAAGCTTAGCTGATATTCCCACTCATTTATCTAAGTAGTAAAAAAATAACTCAAACTTCGAAATAAAAGTCTTTATTAAAGCTTTGTATAAATATAAAAATGTTAACAATACATTTTGAAGTTACAGTAAAAAAATAAAACATTTTTACAGTTAAATTATTTGTTTCGTGCTGTAAATTCCTTTTCACGCGTATGGAAATTAAAAAGTGATAATTCAGAAGACGAAGTTACATGAACAAAGGAAAATAGATAAAAGACTTACAACTTCAGAATCACATATAACTCCCTTTTCAACTACGCATTGATAGTAGTACTTTCTGAAGTACTGAAACAGCTCTATTTCCTTTTAATAATTTATATTTTAACTTATTGTGTTGTTTTATATTCACCATATTGAGCTACAACAATATAGCTGTTAAGGAACTAAGCAATAATCGTTAAAATACTGGTTGTTATATCCTTAAAGTGGTGTTGTTGTCCTCTATCTGAAGCCCACACAGCTTCAGATAGATGAGGAACGTAAAGATGGCATATGCATAATGCTAATTCTCCCACCGACATTGCTTAAATCATGCTGTGTATTATTTTATTTTATTTTATAACCGTCGTTGAACAGTTGACCCAATTTGATGGGTTTACGACTACTTATGTTCAACTCCGTAGCCTTGTGATTTTGAATCTAATCCAGAAGACAAGGGAACTCTTGGATCGAGCATTGTGAAGTTTGCTTTTGTGGAGGACTTTTTGATGGAGCTAACCCGCCGTTGAGTTACATGGAGAGGAAAACTAAGAGAACCTCACACGGTTAGCCTGAAGGCAAAGGGACTCTAACCCATGATCCGTCCACCACTGAGAATATTTCACGTCAGCATTGTTGTCGGTGTGAGCCGGACGCGGAATTTGTATCGACTGGGATTCGAATCCAGCTTGCCTCATTAGATGACGAACGCTCTATCCCCTGAGCCATCGCGGCTCATGCTGTGTATTATGAAATTTTAGAGCTTTAATCATCATAACTCACCCTGCTCCACATCTGGCTGTAACAGATTTCTTTTTCTGTTAATGCCGTTTTAGACTGACAGGAAATTTGGAGAAATTATGAGCCAGTATGATCCAAACGTACGGACAGTGTATAAAGAATTATACTGATTTGTTAGACTTACTTCTAGCTTTGCTTTTAGTTGTTTCACTAACAATAATAATAAAGTGGTTATTTTTATTGTTACACAAAAAATAAATAACCAAACTGGTAGTCTTTTGTTCTAATGGAAACTGTTTTTTACAGGAGTGTAGGAGTTATTACCTATCTATTGTAAGTACAACTTTGTTCCCTGATTTCTATTTTCTCAGTTATTGTCTATCTGTATCTATATCTTTTAATCTCCTATCTGCAGGCTGAGTAGCATTTCCCCGTTCTTGGGGGAGAATGACCGGGAGACGCTGACCAGGCTGCAGCAGGGAAAAATCAACTTCAGTGAAGATGCGTTTACAGGAGTCAGTGACGATGCCAAGGACTTCATGTCCAAATTACTCGTCTTTGATCCTAAGTACACTTTTACGTTGCTTAAAAATGTGTTAATAATTTGGAAACAGATTTTAGCATTCACTTAACTAAACTTTAAACTTCTTTTAACAAATGAATCGTTGTTTTTAGGGGACGGATGGATGTAAAAACAGCTTTACAGCATAGGTGGATCAAGGTAATACTCGAGTTTATGACATTTATGGAGGCGTTTGGTTTCAAAATCAATTCCTGAGTTTTTATGCGGAGAAAAAATTCTGATAAAATTAATGAACAGCTAGTGGCTTCGAAATTTCTAGTATAATTATAATTCTGTCTAATAAAGCCAAACTATACGGTTTTTGAAGCATTCATTTAGTATTCTTTTCTTAATAGACGTAGGGTAACGGTTTACCAGAAATTTTGGTTTTTAAAATTATAGTATTTATTGCCACGCATTTAGCAAAAAATACAAGACTGATGAATTAATTTCACCAAACAAATAGCTTTTATGCCAATAATTTTTATGACATTTCCCAGGTTTTATTACAAATTTTTAAATCCTATTTTATTATTAATTTTACCAAATTACACGCATGTTTCATAGGGATAGTGTAGTGAAAAAATCATTTATCAACATTTTTATTTGAAATTGTATTTTGACACTAATTTCCTTAGTATATTTCAGTTTTTTTTGTATTAACTATATTCGATTTTACATCTATAAAAAGCATGATAAAAGCTACCAGAATGTGGTAAAATTTATCATATTTTTGCTCTATAGGAACAACAAAAAGGTCAGTAATTTTTACTGAATCGCGTTGGCAATGAATTTTGATAAAATTAACAATAAAATATGGTTTTATCATCGGCGATAAAGTTTGGTACTTTTACCATGATACCTTAGGGAATGGCATGAAAATTATTTATTTGGTTAAACTTACTTTTCAGTATCGTACTTTTTTTGCTAAATGTGTGATAATAAGAACTATAATTTTGAAAAACAGAATTTCAAGTATACCATTTCCATAAGACCGGAATGCTTGATTTAAATATAGTATATTTCGGTTTTAATAATTTTTTTAACCAAAAATATCTTTACCATACAGTACGAAAATTTTACCCAAACTCTTTCTCTCCATGTAATCTGGATAAGACATCATAACATTATTGCTGGCCAGTACTGTTGTTGACTAGTACATGGTCAACCATATTGTTAGTATTAACTAAACATTATTGTTGATCAAGTACCTGTTGGTGGGTAGATAATTTATCGCAATAGCAATGGGTACTTTTGCCAAGACATTGTTTCATTTTTCTTCTTTTACCAGGTGTTAAGTTAATTATACCAGATTTTTGTGAAACTAGATTAAATAAAAACCAAAAAGGTTTTAAATTTTTAATATGACATTTTAAACGATCTCGTTACGGATTTTTTGCTTCAATAAATCTAATATATCATCATTTCCCTTATTATTCCCTACCTCTCACTTATTTTCCCTATGGATAAAAGCTTTCATACTACTAGAACAATAAAACAACAAGTCAGGAGATCAATTTTTTTTGCATTTTGTGAATGTTTTAAAATGTTGAATACGTAAAGTATTATATACGCATTTATATCGTTTCAAAAAGTGCGATGTTTTTTTTAAATTTTTGAACTTTTAGACCCATAGGGACGCGAGAAGAGTTATCTTTGAAATCCACATTTTTCCTAAAGGGAAAATATAACCAAAAAGTATTTTTGCATCATTTTGTTTCTACTAAGAAGAGAAGCATACATTTAAGGAAATAATATTTTACCCCCAAAACTTTGCTCCCATATTTTAAGGGAGAACAATCTAAACTCCTTTGCGAAAATGTTTCCGCTTTTCTGCTCGTTTTTAGGAGTTTTGTCTCACCATATATTCTTCTAAGCCTGTGTCGCAAGAAAACCTACGAATATTCCATTTTCTTATTTTTTCCTACTCTTTCCTCGATTTTTTTGCGAAAAAAAAGTTTTTTTTTCTTCCTCTCTTTCTCTCCAGACTCTTGTTCGCCAACTTCTGCCTAAAAGGTCGCTTTTGCCTTTCTCACTATAGGATACTTTAAAGTTCTGTTTTTCCAGGCCATTTGAAGACGTGTAGCTCTTTTTTGGGTTTTGAAAAGAATAGATGGCAAAAGTGCCAGAGGATATTTTTCTGACCACCAGAATGGTTATGCTTTATTCTGTGAAATAACTTCCACACTTGCAAATTTTTTGTAACATGTGTTGATGTACTTAGTCTTTATGGAGAGGCAAATAATATCCATTTCGTCAAAATAACTTTTTTGTGGCTATTGCTGAAGTATAGATAATACTAAAGTATACATATTTTTGAAGTATGGATAAACTTTGTATTATCACTTCCAAAGTATTTATAAATTAATAACTTAGTCTTTATGAAGAGGCAAATAATATCCATTTCTACAAAATAACTTTTTTTGTAGCAATTGCTGAAGTATATATAATACTAAAGTATACATATTTTTGAAGTATGAATACACTTTACATTAACACTTAATACACTTTACATTAACACATAATATTTATATGGCTCAGGGTATAGAGCTTTCGCCTTCCAATGAGGGGAACCGGGTTCAAATCCCAGTCGATACGAATTCCGCATCTGGCTTGCACCAACCACAGTGCTGACGTGAAATATCCTTAGTGGTAGACGGATCATAGGTTAGAGTCCCCTTGCCGTCAGGCTAAACGTGGGAGGTTCTCGTGGTCTTCCTCTCCATGTAACGCAAATGGGGGTAGCTCCATCAAAAAGTCCTCCACGAGGGCAAATGTCTCCAAGTACTCGATCCAGGAGTTCCCTTGTGTTCTGGATTGAGTTCAAAATTACAAGGCTACCGAGTTGAACATTACTAGTAGTTCACCCATAAAATTGGGTCAGCTGTTCAACGACGGTTATAAAGAAAAATTATTAACTTCGTATTATGAGAGGCAAATAATAATTATTTCTACAAAATAACTTTTTTTTGTGTCCGGGAATCTTGATGGCCACGAAATTAAGGGTAAATCACTTCACTAAAAATGCTTTTTATGGACCACCAATTTCAGAAACACTGCAAGAACTTACAGAGCTCTTTTTCACAGCATTTGGAATTATTGATAGAGTGAGACTACAAGTGTGGAGAAAGTTTTGATTTAGTTGAAAATGAAATGAATGTTGTTTTTAATGAAGTTAAAGTTTGTTTAATTTTTGTTGCGTAACAACATGGTAACTAATCAACCATTTACATTTTTATTCAACTGTGGTGTATTAATTTTTTGCAATATCTGTAAGAGACACGATCTTCACGAATTCCAATCATTTTTTTGGGCTGACCTAGCATCAATAATTATTTTTAATTAAGATAAGATGACTTTTACAGAGCATTGGATATTTAGAAAAACTCGTATTTAATTAAATTTTAACATTTTCATTAAATAAAAATTTTAACTTACGAATTGCATATAATTCAACATTTGTAACGGCACTCTTAAGAAGCCTATAAAAAAGAAAATTGCAACGGTAAGACCATTTCCTAACGATGGCAAAGTACTCCCTTACATTGAGTAGTGTAAACGAGCATTCTACGTATTTCTCTGAACTATCCTTAGTTTTGGTGTAGTGGAAAACATTTTGATGCAAAAAAGTTGCCACCATTTTTGGTATTTAGATACAAGATAATTACTTACAATGTATCAATTAATATCGAGGGCAATCACAAAATTAACAAGCCAGCAGTATCAGGTCAACAATAAACACAAATAGCTTAAAACAAAACATGCAGAATTCGAGGTAAAAATAGCTAGCAAAAATTTAAAGAAAGATGATGTAAATAAATAAAAAAACTATGAATGTTAAAAAAAATAAATAAGTTCTTTCAATCGATACAAAAACTGAGTTTAAAAAGAAACAGTTCATAAAAGTCACTAAGTAAAACACCATCTGATTAAAAAAAAATACTAATTTAAAAAAAATCCTAGTATAAGCATCAAAAGTGAAAACAGTAAAAGTTAAAAGAATTTATGAAAGTATTTATATTTGGTCCCGGTATGAAGAAGTATAACATCTAAGTATACTTTCAATTTTGAGAGTTATCTTTTATTCAACTTCAGTGAAATTTCAAGTGGCACTGAATTATTTTTAGAGTTTAGGTCACAGGAATACTTATCTTCCTAAAATATACAACTTTTTTATGGTACATATGTAAATGTCAAGTAGTCAAGATTGGCAGGCGGTTGGATAAATTCATGGCAGTAGATCGGATAAAAAAGGACAAATAGATAGATGGTTTGAAGGGTAAAGTGATTGATAAGTAGGTAAATGTAAAAGTTGAACCACCGAAAATAAAAAAGAAGATGTTTGATGTTTCCTTTCCCAAATATGAGAAACCAAGACTTAAAACTGTTAAAATACCAACACCCTGAATTAAACCCCTTCAAATACCAACCCCTGCAAATCAAAAAAACATATTTTTGTGCTCAAAACTTACTTTGCATTAATTTACATTTCTGTTTTTTGAAAATTTAATGAGCACAAACTAATTACACAGTCTAAAACTACGTAGTGTATCGCATATTGCATTATAATGTAAATAATCAAAGCATATTTCTACATTCAAAATTTGGGCTTGGATAGCCTCGTTAGTCGGGCGTTAGGCTCATGTGCAAAAGGTCATGAATTCGATCCCCGCCAGCCATATCGGGTCACTAAGTCCCCCATGCTTCCATAACAAATTATACCTATGGGGGTACTTAATTGGAGATTGATCGTTCTCTGTTCCAAGTAAAAATTATGATCTGTGGATAAATGAATTTATGTATAAATGGGTTCACCCTTTAAACGGGCAGTGACGAGTGTGCGGCTGAAGTCTTATTCTTGGCCATAGATGGCGCCACTAAAAAGAAGAAACGCACTTTCTGCCTTAAATTCGCTTGATTTCACTAAGCACGTTTGCTGATATTGGCAAGTGGCATAAGAAACAACCGACAACATTTAAAATTTCCTTTAAATTAATTTACGTATTGTGAAAAAGTAAGCATGTGTCAAGTAAACATGCAAATTTTACTTCTTCTATAAATTCTCCTAAGGTGTCTTTCAAGGTCTGTAATAAAAAAAATTCACGAAACCTTCCTCTTTTTTTGACGAAATCTTTTCCTGGTATCTGTTCCGAGCAATAATTTCATCAAATTGACGAAATAACTATCACCACTTCATCCAGGGAACGAATTTCATT